CACTTTCCTCAGTATCGTTTATGCTCTGAATTTCTTATTCCCTCGACTTTAAAAATTTATATGCAAATCCCCACAAATTTGGAGTATAAAATAATGAATAATTGGATGAATTTTGTGATATTAAAGCACAATAATACCCTTTAATATTTGATTTTTAACTGAACAAAACAAATAATTTGTAAAAATTACATCTGGTGTACCATGACAAATAAATACCGTGTTATACCAAAAAGAAAAGAGAAACAATAACATGCATAGGTAGTCTACTAGTAGAGTTACTAATTGAACGAGTGCTCAACTAATTTGTTGAACTCGTTCCTGAATGAGTCTAAAAAATTATTTAAATCGAACTCGAACTGAGTTCAAGTAAATTAGTTTGATTATCAATCCGATGTACTAGTACGAAATNCCTACTAGTAGAGTTACTAATCGAACGAGTGCTCAACTAATTTGTTGAACTCGTTCCTGAATGAGTCTAAAAAATTATTTAAATCGAAATCGAACTGAGTTCAAGTAAATTAGTTTGATTATCAATCCGATGTACTAGTACGAAATTGACTTTAAAATGAATTATATACTTAGATGATTTGGATTTAACTGTCATTGGTAATTTTAATATTTTTATTGATACATATATTCAAGTATGCACCGTTCATTTTGTATGGATAAATTGGTTCCTTGTTATGAAAAAAAAAAAGAAGAGAAAACTAAAATATGAATGAGAGCATAGAAATTAATTAGCACACCTCATTATTGAAAAATATTATCTTTCCATAGTTTGCCGTCTCTTAAATTTTAACAAACTTTGTTCAAAGTCATATAAAAATAAACNACACCTCATTATTGAAAAATATTATCTTTCCATAGTTTGCCGTCTCTTAAATTTTAACAAACTTTGTTCAAAGTCATATAAAAATAAACTACAAAATTTAAAATTCAAGGGGGTGTAAGTGTAATTTCTCTTCACTATAATGAACAAAGATTTTCTTTTTTCCTGGCCAGCTTTGAACATCGAAATTATAGAAAAGCTAAAACGAAATGGAAAAAGGAAAAGCACAGAGGAAAAAGAAAAGCCCCTTACTTACGGTGACTATGAATAAAAGCTGAAGCTGAAGCATTTCAATCTCGTGGTTTCTGCTTCCCTTCTTGTCTACGCAACAGGTACTTCTGTCTTCCAGTTACTGCCGTTTAATTTATTGTTTTCTTTTTGGAGTTTTGATTCTATGAATTTCTTCTGTTTTACCTCATTGTTTGCTTTTTTTGGGTAATGGGTCTGTAGTTCATATTTATTTCCTCTAAAAAATTCATATTTTGGTCTTCAATTCGGATTTTTTCTTTGCCTTGTTTCATGGTTTAGCCCATGATTTGAGGTAAACTTTTATATTTTTTGATTTTGTGCGTGTGTGATTTGGGCTAGTGTTGGTTGCTGATAAAAAAGTTTTTAAGAAGGTATAGCAAATTTTATTTTATTTTTTTTGGTAGAAAGAAGTAAGCAATTCGAATCTTGAATTTGTAGTTACTTGGAACCAAAGCGAAGTCAAACTTTTTATTTGGCTGATGAGCCTAGTAAGAAATTTGGGTTTGATTGACAACTGCTTTGTAGTTCTCCAAAAAGAAAAAAAAAAAAAAAAAAAAAAAAAAAAAAAAAAAAAAATAC